GTACACACATTTTTCACATTCATATTGGTAATGTCATTGTGTAGTGGATTTCACAGTTAACCAAGAGATCACGGTGAATTGTACAAAATCATTACTCAGAAGCTGTGGATTATAGCTGAACAGTCAGTGAGTGCAATGGGAGATTTTCTTTGTTTCTCTGTACAAAAATAAATTGTTCTGTGTATCAACAAGTTTTTTTTTTTTGTGTGTCTTTCTTTTAGTGTAATGATGTGGAAACATAGTAATCAATGGCTGTTCTTACCAACACTGTGGTCTGTTTAACCATGCTTGAGTTTGCATTTAAGAGTAGTTACATCAAGAAAGAATGAATGAAATGACAAATCTAAAATGTTGACAATTATAGTATTTGTTTAGGAGAGTTAAAGTTAGTTTTGTATCCTTTACAAAACATTGTTATTCATTGCTCACTAACTGTACAAAATTTGACATGAAAATAAACACCTCAAAAACTGAAGTAATGACCATAGGAAAGAAACACAGTAATGTAAACATAAAGATCAATGACATACAATTAGAACAAGTTCAAGAGTTCAAGTACTTAGGATGCATATTTACAGAAGATGGAAGACTCGATAAAGAGATACAGGCTAGAGTTCAAAAAGCCAATGCAGTAAACTACCAAGTGGCCCCACTTCTTCGTCATCCAAAGATCTCGTTACCAGCCAAAAAACGGATGATCAACAGCATTTTCATCCCTACGTTATGTTATCAGTGCCAAACGTGGACAATGAACAAATCACATATGCAAAAAATAACTATGTGTGAAATGCGATGTCTCCGAAGAGTCACCAACAATACACGAAGAGAAAGAGTCACAAACGTCAGTATTAGAGACAAAGTTGGAACAAGAGCATGCATGGAACATATTGAAAGACAGAGAATGAAGTGGTTTGGCCATTTAGTAAGAATGCAACCGGATCAGATTGCCTATAAGGCCTTTTACAGTAGAACATCGGGAAGAAAGGCCAGAGGAAGACCCAGGAAAAAATGGATAGATGGAGTAGCTGAATACGGCCAGAAGATCCAGAAAACTGTCACTCAAATCACGCGAGAGGCACAAAACAAATATTTTAAACCACGACACTGGGCTGCAACCCGGTAAAAGTGAAGAAGATAGAAGTAGATAGACAAAACATTGTTCCAGAACCAACCCCAGCATTATTTGGCTGTTATGATTTTTCTAGGCAAATTTTAGGTTCAATAGTTTGCCACTGCTGACTGAACTGTCAGCTATAAGTAGCACTGTCAAAACCAACACAAGACATACTGTCTGCAGCTGGGATCAAACCCAGCTCCCCATCATTACAAAGTGTGATCGCAACACCTGAGCCACAGACACAATATTTAGGAGAGACCTAAGATATAAAGGTTTAGCCAGAGTGCTGTACTGTAGATTCTTCTTTAATTATTCAGTTAATGGCATTAACTTTTCATAGGTCTGGGGTTTTACCCATAGAAGGGACAGTATTTGATGTTGTATTCTTAGACCCATACACGAAGCAAAGTATAGTAACACTATCCTACCATGCATGTCCTAAGAGGCGATTGAAGAGGATTAGCATAAGATTAGTTATCCCATCACATAGTACAACAATCATGAACTTGTCTCAAGAAAACGAAAGAAAAATAGACAACCATAATGGAAGGAGGATCAGAAAAGCATACAAATATATAAAGTAACTAAAATATTTGATAAAATTTAATTGACTAATACGGCAGCAAAACAATAAAAACATAATCATGATTTTAGAGCTTATGGAAAAACTCTAGCTCCAGTAAATCAAGAGTTGAAATGATTGAAAAACCTACATAAGAAGTGAAATGACAATTGATCAAGCGGTTTTCCCCCTTGGGCTGCTAAAGGTTTAACATCTTTAACAACTCAATCTGAAGTTGTTTTTTTTTTTTAAATTCAAGGTGGTCATGCATATCGAATAATCTTTGTTGATCTGAAGCAATAATCCACAGTTTGCTTCCTAAAATGAGCCACTGAAGATTCTGGAAACTAAACAGACAAAGCAAGGATAAGATCGACCTACCATAATAGGCATAAAACACAGAGATAATGAAAATGATCATGTGATAATAGAGACAGAGAAATTTGAAACATTTCTGCAAAGATTCATAGCACAGATAAATCATAATTATGATGAAATGAGAAATTCATTTAGAGCGAATCTACCAAGTATTATAAAAGATCAGTGCTATGAATTCAGGTAAAATGTATAAACGTTTTTTTTTAAATAAAGTAAAAGAGACCCTGATGGGACCAGACGAGGTAAAATATGCCCACAAGAAGGTCCTGAGTAATGGCGACCTGGTAGAGATGGCTATTTCCTTTAATGAGACCACTAAACAGCATTAGACCCCACGATTGGGTGCACAGATATTTAGCGCCACTCCCAAAACAAGACAAAGATCATTCAAGATTCAGCGGCCTTAGGATTATCATTCTACAAAATACGTCTGACAATGAGAATTAAATGCAGTCGTTTTTAGAAAGGGAAGAGCTCCTCCCAATAGGTCCAGGCAGTTACCGACCAGGGAAAGATAACTGGTCAAATGCGGGCACCTTTCCATTTAAAGTTTATGAGGACAGGAGACGGTAGTGGCAGTACTTGATCTTGAGGATGTCTTCAACAAAATCAGATATGATATTTTGACGACCGCTCTAATAGAGAAGTAGGTTTGTCCCTGGCTAGCTAACTGGATAGCAGCTGTCATGTATGCTCGTATGGTTACTCTTTGTCACGTGGGACTACCACGGGGATCTACAGTTTCACCAGTGCTCTTTAATATTTACACGTGCAAGATTGCAGAACTTGAAGCACCTGGTGTAGGAGAACAGCAGACAAAGTGACTGACTGGTAAACGGAGATGAGTACTGTTATTAATCCAGAAAAGGTAACGGGTTTCTGGACATTAGAATTGTAGAGTTAATATCCCAAGCCGCATATTAAACAGTAAGTTGCGTATCCTTTACAGGATGCTGTAGAACCAACCCCGCACTGTTAAGCTTTTTTTTTTTACGTCAAGGCGTGAAAAGGGAACTTTACGTCAACTAGTTGGTCATTGCTCCCTGAACGGTCAGCTCTCGGTACCACTGTCGAAATCCAACGCAAGACAAATCGTCCGTAGCTGGGATCGAACCCGGCACCCCAGCATTACGAAGTGCGTTCGCAACACCTAAGCCACAGACGCTGACAAAAAAAAAACAATACAGACATCAAAAGAGAAGGCAATTTAAAGTTCTCGGGTATCAGTAGGATTCTGTCATTTAGGAACCATTTGGAGGTAGTTGCAACAAAATGCCACAAAGTGCACACATTAAAAAATTGTCGCAACACTGAACAAAGAGCAAAACATTTTGTTGACAAGGTACCAGCACTTGATTGCTTCGTTGATGGATTATGGACTGGGGCTGCTCACTGTATTAAGAGTCAACTGGTGAAGTTCGAACGCGTATGTAATACAACCATGTGCGTGATTCTATATTGTACAAGAAAAAAAATAAAAGACCCTTTTCCACGCCTTTAGGAGTACAGGGCACATAGGGCTAGACCTATATTTTTTTATAGAACATTCGGCACAAGATGGGTGATGTGGTCAGCATCACGCCGCCACCTTTACTTACCGAGACTGATCTGGTGCCCACTCAAGGCTAGGTCAATCTGGGACTCAAGGTCATTTTTTTTAAAAAGCCCGGCTTTGCCAGGGAGCCAACCCACGACCTTCCGATACGCACACGAGCGTCTAACCGCTACGGTATGGCGACTTCCAGAATGTACAAGAAACACCCCGATAGCCTGTATGTGATACATCTTTGCACTGCCGACTGTTATATAATTTGACTTCCCAAACGGGAATCGAACCCCGGCCGCCGCGGTGAGAGCGCGGAATCCTAGCCACTAGCGGTGCTGCAAGCTTTGTTAAAGCCCCGGATACAGCTAAGGGTCACTGGTTGACCAGAGGGAAGTCTGGGATGCCAGTTGCCACAAGCAGAAAACACAATCAGAAATGTGTGTTTGCTGGAAATAACGGGGAGAGAAGAATAGTGGGTCACAGTGCCAGAGCAAAAACAGACTTGTGAAGGGTTTCTAATCATACTTGGCTAGGAGTGCAGGAATTGGCCAACATGCACTGCAGTATCAGAAATTCAACAATTTAATCATGATAATTTCCTCCCAGGTCATGTGATTATCTGTACAGATGGCTCTGTGTTTAGAACAGACATATAATGAAACTGCTACTGGCACCATCACAATTTGAACTCTTCAGTGGCTGCTGAAGGTGTGGACAGAACACATATTGGAATGTTCCAAATGCCGTGATGTCAGTTCGTAGCTCAACACACAACTTATAATAACCATCTACTATACGCCTTCACAACTTAATGTAAGCATACAGCAACAAACTTCATTGTATTAAACAAATTTTTTAAGGGTAAGAACCATGAAACTACTGGTTTTATTTGACTAATTAACATGGAAGTTTGCATTCAAGTTAGGAAGAGAAGCAAAAGCTAAGGCAGAAAAAGACAGCAGAGTCCTTTTCATTTTCTAAAAAAAATTGTCATATACACAATTTTACAATTTCTGATTACTTTGTAGACGCACAATGACAATAATTCTACATTTCGAGAAGATTAAACCAATGCCTTGTCATGCAAGAACCCTAACCGCAACAACGCCCCTCTTCCCTGTAATTCATATAAGTTACATCCCCTCTTCGGTATCTTGCTTGGTATCGCAATAAGTATTGCATATACTGGTCACTATCGATTACATTAAACATCACGTTTACAGGTACCAGGTATTCGACATGTAACATAAGTATCGGCAAGTGGCATGATTACTAAAGTCCTTGTTGACATTTAGAGCAGGCTTGTGTGCCACACAACATACTCAGGAGAGATCGGAGTTTCATCTGTTACGTGTTTGTTCTTTTGCTATATTGCAGTTGGGAATTCACCAGTAGCAATGGCTAATCAAGAAGTTAATCGTCATGCCCCGGGAGATATTCTGTTTCTAGACCGGGGAGATGGGAATACAGCACTCGTACATCTTCATGGTTAGTCAGTACTTAATAAAATTCATCGACCGATCATCATCATCACATTACAGTTACACATCGGACAAGACCATAAGCGCACGGAATCTCATATTCGGTATCTCCTTTAGTGTGTGGCGACTGACAACACAAATTAAGTGTTGGTTTACTATTCTTCTTTGGTTACCTGTGCAACACTTCTTTCGACATGAAGTTCTTGTATTCTTGTCAAGGTTGCCCACTGTGCCAATTCATCGTCCTCTGGATCATCTGCTCGTCCAGCCTCCTTGAAGATCAACGAGAACATCGGCTCGGTCTGTTACTTTTCCCCTGTGTCTACCATGGTCCTGCCAGCAGGCTAGACCCCTCATTTGTTCCCTAAAACCCTTGAATATCCTGACACAAAAATGAAACTGATTCCCCTGTCATACGAGATCTCCTGAGTAATGTAGTTAGTAAATGTTGAATGTTGTTGAATTAGGAATCAATATCATAATACTCGGGACACTCCCATAAGTGCTCCATCCCCATCTTCAGCAGCAAGCAAAGCTTTTCAATTCCAATGGTGTATTTAGTAAATAACAATTAGTAGTGGCTAGTCCCTCAGTGTCAATTAGTGCATTCAAACTATTATTTTTTCATATTAATTATTTATGGTTCTGTACCAGTGACATGGTAACACCTGTCATTAATTATTGTAAATACCCGAGTATTCTTTAATAAATTATGCATTTGTTTATTGATAAAATAGGTAACCTGCATTAATCATTAATGAAATATTAAAATAAGTCATGTTTTCAACATTTTTTCAAGTGAAGTCCTCTTGAATATATGACAAGCCCCAACTCTACCACACCCTTCCCCCACCATGCCCTTCCCCCACCATGCCCCCCCCCACCACCATGCTCCTCCCCCACCATGTTCCTCCCCTAATTAAAAATAAATGTTATTAAAAAGAAAAAGAAACGAGGAAAAAGATAAATGCCAAGCACCATTAACAGACTGGAAAAAAACTTCCACATGAATCAAAATGTCAAATACCATAAATAAACAATCAACAGCAATTTGTAATTTAATGTCCAAATATCAAATGTGATGATTGACGCTATTTCATCTTTGTAATGTCTGCTAACAGACAGACAGACCTGCAAACACTTAGTGTCACCAACTGGAAATGGAAGGCCAGCCAGAGAGATTAATGGATGCGGGTGATATCTGCAGCAGTGAACCTAAAGAGCTCGGAAGAAGAAGAAGAAAAAAATGTCTGCTAACTTTGGTCTGGTTTGGCAAAGCATAATAGAGATTGCTCTCCACATGAAACTAGCAGTGACTTGTTTTTGTGACTTAAAGCTGAAAATTGAGATGCACAAAAATATGAGGAAGAAAATAACAAAAGAAAATTTATAGGTAATTTTGCCACATGAGTCTATATTGCAAGATACTGCACCCCCCATCCTGAAAAGAAAACCCAGGCCTAAAAAATGTGAAATTGTTTTTAGCCTTTGAATTAGACTTTAGCTGAATTGCTTCTTTTTGAATAGACAGTTGCAGTATATCAGCATTAAAAGGATTGCTGGTAAGCTTTCAAGACCAGTCGTCAAATGATAGACTGGGAAAACAAGGGAACCTCTCTTCCAGAAAATCTAAATGTGACTGAATTTTAACTGCAAGTTTATTATTTATATACTCCTTATTTTCTGTTAAGACAAGAAAATGATCAGAAGTTCTTGGATTCAGTTTGTCATTTCCATAAACTCAGGGTTTTTTGTTTTCTGGAAAAATCTTATGGCATCATAGAATAGAATAAAAGTGTCATGTTGTTTTGTGTGGAAATTTTAAGTTCAGGTTTTTGAAAACTTAAAAAAAAAAAGTAAAATAAACCAGTGAAAGACAAAGGAGTTTTCATTGAATGGAGGTCATGGTTTGTGTGTGTGTGTGTGCATGCGAGAGAGGGAGAGAAAGAAAGAAAGAAATAGAGAGAGAGAAAGAGAGAGAGAGATAGAGATTTCAGCTCATACAGTCGAGCCACAGCACTTTTATAGCTATTTTCAGTTTGTGGTGAGTGTTGGCATCTTTTTCCTGGGAGGAAAAAATATTTTACAAATATTGTTGATATTCTTTACCAGAACTGGTGTGTTGCATTTATCATAAAATAATCTCTCTATCACACACACACACACGCAGGCATGCACACAGGCACGCACACACACAGGCACGCACGCAGGCACACACGCATGGATGCACGCAGACACACACGCACGCACACATGCACACAGGCACGCACGCATACACACACAAACACTCTCTCTCTCTCTCTCTCTTACTTACTCACTCTCTCTTTCACTCACTCACTCACTCACTCCCTCACTCAGTCTCTCTCACTCACTCTCTCTCTCTCTCTCTCTCTCTCTCTCTCTCTATATTTATATCTGTTTTTTTTAGGTGCAACGTTACTGTCATGGAAGTGTAGAGGCATTGAGCATCTTTATCTGAGGTATTATTGATAATTTCTTTCTTTTACATATTTGTCAAGTGCATTGGGTACTTCTAGTACTAAACTACACTAAGAGACAACTGATAAAAAGGTTGTGACATGTTTGTCAGGACTACCACCAGATAGTGCACCACAGAGAGTCCTGTCCTATTAAACACAGTGGAAGCATAACTAGAGGTTGACTACCCAAGAGATGGATGTATTGAATGAATGTATGAATGAATGAATCAAGAATTGAAATTACTGCCCTTGGGACATTGCTACATCTGCCCCATCCCATTCTTCAGTAGCCAGTGAACTTGACAGGCTAACGTTTCCTGTTGCAATCTGATGAAAAGTCTTCTGAACATTATATTGAGTGAGTTTATGATGGTAAAGAAATCAGGAAACATTCAAAATAAATAATAGTTATCTTCATGCTATAGTGCTAATGAATTTTTTTTTTTTAAATCAATCATGTCTTGTTTCTTTTTTTTAGCCAGACTGCCGTGTTTGACAACAAGAAAGCTATTCGCGGAGGAGTTCCTGTTGTCTTTCGTAAGTAGATGATTTTTTTCCCTCCGGAATATTAATCCTAACTTAAAACACTTAGACTTCATGATATTGGACAAAATTAACATATTTTATGATGTGGTCAGTCAAATGATGAATTAAGAATTGACATCATATAGCACTCAAGGCACTCTCATTAGCGCTCCATCCCAATCTTCAGCAGCGAGCAAAGAGTTCCAATTCTGATGGCACCAGTAACTGTCTGATTGTATATCCGTCTTACCTTTTCCTTGAGTGTTGAGTGTCGACCAGAACCCCTGGTAACTGCTCGTAGAGCCATTCTCCTCAGACCTTAATGATCTCTCTGTACCTCAGCACTGTTCACTCGCTCGCAAAAGGCCCTTACAACATCCAGCTTGTCATATATCAGTTCACCAACAAGTGGTGCAGAACCGGTGAGTCTATCTGCCTGCTCATTTCCTAACACACTGACATCACCTATGGAAAATATCCGAAGGAGGCTAACTAACCAGGACCTCCTAAGTGATGCTTGCCACTCTGTGCGGCGCATGCCTACCTCCATCTTTCTCAGCATGCTCTGGGAGTCAGTTGCAATCACGGCATGTGTGTACTGCTGATTTTCAAGCCAGCGGAAGGCAGCTGTGACTGCCTCCACCTCCATTCTCAAACTAGACTTTGTGATATGTTCTGCCAGGGTTTGATACACTATGTGATATCCATTCGCTTTAAAAAAAAAAAACCCATGCACTTCATCTGCCCTTCAACACAGAGTCATCTTTAAGACAGATGTGGTCTGTCAGTGGTTAACTAAATATTATTTGTAGATAAAATGTTGTGCTACATATGTTTGATATTCCCAAATGTCTGTCTTGTCTTTATTAATAGCAAATTTTGGCCCATGGCCCTTGGGTCCCCAGCATGGATTTGCAAGAATCAAAAGATGGACTTCAGCTATACCACCTACTAAGGTAATAATGTTTTACCACCCTGGATCAGTGTGTCTCACATGTAATAATAATCTGTTTCATATTTTGGCAAAATGAAACAAAAAGGTATAGAATATAATGTATTATATCTATAATAATTCTAAATAAATATAGAATATTAATTAATGTCATCATCATCAACATCATGTAGCAGGTCCTTTGCAGAACGTCGCTCTCATCACGGTCTGCCTGAAAGAAACTCAGTCTCTCGCCAGTTCTCCGGCCTCATGTACTTTTATACTTAAGGAGTCACTTATATCCTGTGCCTATCTTCGTATTGGTTGGCCCCTGCCCCTCCTTCCTGGTACCATGCCTTCTGTTGTTATTTCTTTCCATTCCACCTTGTTGCTTGTGATATAACCAAAATATTTCAGCTTCCGAGACAAGATGCTGTTTATTAGCCAATCTTCCTTAATGTTCAGATCGTTCAAGATGTCAGTATTTCTCCTCTTCTTTGTCCAAGATATTATGATAATCTTTCTATAACATTTCAGCTGAAATTGTAAAAAATATAGATTATATCTATAATAATTATTTGCAGACAGAAACACTTGCGGATACCTCACAAGGTATCCAGGCCTAGTGAATAGAAATCACAAACCCCGCAGGATTAACACCTCAGGGATGAGAACCCTGGTAAGCCTCGTTAAACCATAAGGTAATACTGGGCCTCCAAATGTTACAAAGTAACCGGAAGTCAGGATCAGGCAAGGATATGGGATAAACTGCTATTAATAATTGCACCCAATATGTTAACGTTCAAGAGCCTTTGACAGCCAAGTCCAGTCTTTGCCTTTCACATGTATCTTGATGAACCTGGTGGATTTATTTCTTTAAACAGAAAGAGGAGCTAGTTATCCATCATGGTAATAACAATAAGGAAAAAGATAAAATCTCTGATTACATACAGATAGTCTTAATCTTAGACGAGGTTTCAACATAACGGCAGTTAGGTTTCCCCATACTTGCTCAGTTTCTGTGCCAGTGCGAAATTCATAAAGGTAGATAATATGAAAATCAAACAAAGGAAACTTGGGTATACAATCTTATACTCCAATATACTGAAGGAGAAATTACAGTCTAGAATACAGTCTGGAAATAAAGTATACTGTGCCCTTCAACATCTGCTGGAATTAAATGCTGTATCTTATAACACAAAAATCATGGTGTATAAAATACTTAAAAGACCAGTGTCTTATTTGGCTGAAACCTGGAGTACAGCTAAAAGAGAAGAAGCGTTGTCGTACATTTTTGAAAGCAGTCTAACAACGATCTTTGAACACATCAGCAGGGAATAGAAAAGAAGAAGCAGCAGCAATGAAATTCAAAATCTGTTACATTGATCACTGGTATTATAGACAAACAGACTGAAACTTAGGCATACAGAGAAAATGGCAAACCCTGTGTCCACAAGGGAATTGAATGACCACAGACCACAAGGCAGACCATAAAGATGATGGAGGAATAGCAGCCAAGGAGACATACAAACACTTGCAGTCACCAATGGAAAATTAAGGGCCAGTAACTAAGGTGCAGCATGCTTGGAGTGTTAAAGAGGAGGAACAAGAAGAGTGATGAAAGGCACGTTACTACCATCTTCATATATCTCATTGACTCAGGTAAATGAGGCTTCTGAACCTTGGCTGATAGCTCATCTAGGAGACAGTATATGCCTGTTCCAAAAGAAGGTAGTAAATAGCTTTTCCGAATTCCTGCTGTCTTGTAGGATGAGAAAGACTTTAGGACTAAACCCCCAGATGAAAACCTAGAGATCAAGTCACTGAAGCAGTCTGATATTTACCTGAACACTATTCTGGCAACTCCTGCAGTGTCATTGATCCCTAATTGTAATAGCTTTCATCATTGGATCTGATTAAAGGAAAGATGCTTTTTGAGAGTAAAAACTTGTTCTCTCAATCAGTTTGCCACAATCTGAGCCATGGTTAAAAAAAACAGGTTATTCAATATGATTGATCCACTTTTACTGATGTATATTTAATCGAGTAAACATTACATATGAATAATATACATACAAGAGAGAGAGGAAGGTTTACAGACTTACTTCTTATTCTTCTTTGTTCGCCAGCTGTAAGCTCCAGCAGAAAGTCCTGGTTGGTCATCCATTTAGACTTTGGCTTTGTGCCAGGGCCTGAGTTTTGCCTGTACATCCCCTTTTTTTGGTAGGCAGTGGGTCTGTTCTCAGTTTTATAACAGTGGGGCCCGGAACCCACACAGAGCAAAACAATCTTACAACAGAGGTTATGAATGTTTAATATGACTGCTGTCTGCTGCTCTGCAAACATCTAAGCCATAGCCGAGCTCATCCCACACATGAAGAAGTATCTCTCGCATAACTGAGTTTACTGCAGCTGTGATAGATTCTGCAGGTACATACACAGCTTCTTTGGACACATACCCCACGGAATCTCAATGGTGTGAGATCAGGAGACACTATAAAGAAAGTTATCCATCTTTTTGAATAATCCTGTATAATCAGAAGAGGAGAGAACTCATCTGTGAAATGCCAGTTCATGTGATGCTTTGGGATAAAACAAATATATCCTAATAAGAAATAAATAGGCATCTATCTAATTAAAGAGTTTTTGGTGTTTGGGTTGGTGGTGTTGTTGTGGTCTGTATGGGTAAGAGTGGTTGTGGGTCAAAAGATCCAAATATGTTGGGCTTTGGGCTGAAAGGTACAGGTATTGCAATTTAGGGCAGCAAACAATAACACAGCATACAATCATTGCTCTTTTGTAGGGTGAATGCAGATGAAGAAAAGAAACAAACCCTGAAAATGATGACAAGGTGGAACAGATTTACATCTGAACCATAGTTATGTACTATCCAACTGACCTTTAGGCAAAAACATAACTAATGCAAATATAGGGGAAGAAGATAAGAATTAATTGCTTTCCCTGTAGGGATTTGAAACAGTCACACAAGCAAAGTTGGGGGATACAATTATATGGAATGAGTGAAACAAGCTGAAAAACTGGCAAAGGAGAATAGACTTATCTTGATTTAAAACTTGCCGCGCGGGATTACCAATCTTCTACTCCACGATTGGGCTGCGCTGCTTCATCTTACAGGTTTCACTCTGATGACCGACTACTGTTTTAAGTTAAATAGTATAGTCACGATCCTCACGCCTTTAGACGCATCGGGAGATTATGGGAAGAGCACCCTATTTTTACAGACCAATCGGAACTAGTGGGTAATGTGTTCAGTATA